AAGGTCCAATTAACCGTTTCCAATCATACAAATCCCAGGCTAATCACAAGTCTGTCTTTTACATCATTGTGAACAACCGTAGTCGTGTCAGTGGCAGTCTGTCTCAACCCTACGTGGCATAATGTTGCAATACGAGAGCAAACGGCTGGGAGTTTCGACTTTACGTGTCATTTATGTTGCGGTTATTTAGCCTACCAGCGGCCATGTCAATCTTCTACTTAAATTCGAGTTCGAGGTCTAAGGGTCCCTTTGTCGAGGAGGACACCAACACAAAGAAAACGTTTAGGACCTGAATAACACATGGGGGAACTATGATAAAAAAACACAAGGGAGTTCATGATCTGGGTCCTAGAAGTATCACGATGTCAATTTATTTCTCGTCTTCTCGTCAATCTTGAGACCTTTCTGTAATTGTTTTGAGAAGTTGAATTTTCTTTGTTGTTTACTAATACGCCAGGATGTTTCTGTCTTCGTTATTCGAATATTACGATTTTTTTTATTGTAAATCTCGTAAGGATGTTGCTTATTACCTAACAACTACGAGTCTTCATAATAAAACGTTCCGTGAGAAGGATAAGTAAACCTAGATGATTATTTCTTCTTCGGGGCAATGACATGAATCAAGAACAATGAATTTCTTAATAAAAATATTACATTAAAAATATATATATATACTGTATATAAGATCGCAAGCGTTGAAAAGACAATAGACAACATATGACAATAAACGAAGCTAGGTTGTATCAGATGTATGTTGTGAATAAGGTTTCTATCTAATAAACAGAAGAAAATACAAAAGTCAGCCTACAGGAGCATCTCTTTTAGTTCCCCTCTGGTCTGGGAAGTCAGCTCGCTAACAGTACTCATCGACAGAACAATGGAGAGAGAAATATTGAAAAGGAAATACGCTTAGAAAGTTTTTTTTTTATTTCTGTACACATGTGAAGGGCAGTATATTACAGCTGATTTTCGTAGTACAAGTGTGAAGAACAAACAGTCACACTTTTCTTGATACAGGTGTGAAGGAAAATAAATTACAGTTCTCCATCATAAGACAGACGTAGAGGAAGAGATCTTTGTCAGCCTTGTACTGTCACTCCTCACTCAAGGGATTCACACCTGTACGGGTAGAAAAACTGGTACTATCTCCCTCAGGTTATGCCCAGGGTTCATCCCCAGTTACATATTAACCTTTTAGCTGTTTCTCATTAGCATCGTCATTTTCTGAGCTTATGGATGATGCTTTATTCAACTCTCCTTCTTCCTGAGAGCTTCACAGGGAGATTATTTACACCAGGTCCTTGGGAAGTCGACTCAGGTTCCATAGTGAAGATAACAGATTGTAGATGGCGCCGTCATCTTATTTTGGTTAGAAAATAAGTGAATGTATCTCTTCTAAACCAAATATAGAAAGATACATGGATAATAAAGTGATAATTGAATAAGCAGAGAGGAAACTAAATAGATAACTAGATATATGGAGAAATACATAAATCACATAAAGAGTTGTGTTGAAGACCCTTCTAATATATGTCTCCAAAAGTTCATCTGTTCCACCAAACAACCTGAGGTCCCCAGCCTAAGTGCCCCCTAACCCCACCTATCTCCTCCCCTTCACCCCCTCCTCCCCCTCCCTAGCCTGAGTGCCACCCCACAACCGCAACAGAACATTTAGAGAGGTGTGACCCGCCGCTCAGAAACAGACACACACACCTCTCACACGCTATCGGAATTCCTCAACCCCTGACTTTTTTTTTTTTTTTAGTCATTCTTGGTTGTTCCTTCACTGATGTATCGCTGTTGGCCTTATTGTAGGAGCAAACATTGTTGACGTGTTGGTTTAGGTTAACTCAGTTGGTAGTAATACTGGATATATTGTAAACCTTCCACACTTGTGTTTTATTAGTGTCCTCGGGCACGATTTTGTTGCCGCTGATATACAATGTTGTCCTACTTTAAGCTTGTGTATCTTATGCACAGATGAGTGTTGGTGTGTACACGTCAGGTTTCAACATCCACAGTTATACAAGACCAGCGGAGCAGCCTCGCGTGTTGGGTATTTCCTCCCGACTGCCCACACACCCAATACCACCTGCGGGTACCTATATTTAAATCATTTCTAGAATGGCCGAGTCCCAGCCGTCAGTTTTTGGGCTGGAAATTGGTGTAATTTAAAAGAAATTTACCTCTGGCCGGGTGGTAATTATAAACCAATTTGGTATTAATATCATTTCCTCTTCCTGTTCTGCGTAATAGGTTATGAGAGAGAGACATGGCGACTTGTCCTTAGCCCTAATCACCTGTCGTTGACTTTCGGGGAAATGTCGTTAAGGTGCGTAATTATGGCGGGTGTTGCCCTTCTACCTCCTGACGGCGGCATCCTGAGGCGGCCTCCACACCGCCCACTACCTCATCACCACCCACTCTGTCCTTCACCACCACCCTCTCCTTCCATCACCACCCACTCTGTCCTTCACCACCACCCTCTCCTTCCATCACCACCCACTCTCTCCTTCACCACCACCCTCTCCTTCCATCACCACCCACTCTGTCCTTCACCACCACCCTCTCATTCCATCACCACCCACTCTCTCCTTCACCACCACCCTCTCCTTACGTCACCACCCACTCTACATCATCACCACCTACTCTCCACATCACCACCACCCACGCCACACCTAACCTACCCTCATCACTACCCACCCACTTCCTATAATTTGGTGTATTAAGATAATGTTATTTCGAATTGATAAACTTAGTTATGTTGTTGGGATAACTCAGTAATGGACAAGAGCGGGTAAACATTTGATCTTAAGTCTTGTATATAGCTTTAATAAATGTCAAATTGTTTTTCTAAGTTGACTTTTCACTAAGCATGTACAGACAATTGGTTGTAAGGTCAGGAGCTATTTACCACCACACGTATTGTACCACAGTGACCCAGGCTCTTGTTTAGCTATTGTTACACAGCAAGTCGTTCATACTTCTGTAGTTCCCGTTATTAATACATATTCTGTATGCAGTTATTGTATACACGGTATGACCTGTAGGTCTACAGGCCTAAGACACAAATACTTTTCGTCGAAGTTTTTTTCTTCATATTTATTTACTTTTCTATTATCCTTCGTGTTTTAGATATTTATTATAACAGCGAATGTTCATATAACCACTAAATTTACCCAGAACATTGTGATAATGGCTAGAAATTATAAATAGATAAATAACAGCTGGGCCGTATGAACAGCGTCGTCACCTGAGCTTCACTAAACCTCCGTCATCTCAATAATCTTAATATTTGTAAACCTGGAATTATACAAGTTGTGTCAAGGAAAAACTTAAGTGAGGTAATTTAGTGGACTGCTGTTAAACTGTTAACTCGCGGAGTATTATATATATATATATATATATATATATATATATATATATATATATATATATATATATATATATATATATATATATATATATATATATATATATATATATATATATATATATATATATATATGCCTATAATGTACACAGATAAATCAATATAAGCTTCTATTTATATGTAAATTAATGACAGAAGCGTGTAGTACCCACGCTCACATTATTGAATGCGTGTGTATGTGTCCACAATGTGTCAGAGGTAAGATGATGCGTCGCTGCTTGGCCAGCTGATGTAAACAATCTCACCCAATTGTACGTCTGTACGTTTCCTCCCTACCTCTGCCCGGCCCTCCCCTCCCCCCTGGAGGAGGGAGGGCCCGGCAAATGACAGTAATTTGAGTGATGGATCGAGGAGTTGGCTGGGCCGGGGGTGAGTGGAGTGGCAGGCATTACCCCCCTACCACCGCCACCACCCGCCCACTCCACCACCACCACAGTCTTGTTGCACTTCTCTTCCAGCACTTCCCCGACTTTTCGTCTAAGTTCCTCGCTCAGTTATTGATATATCTCCTCTAATCCCCCCCTCCAGGCGGTGGTTTGTCGTGTTTTAGCTAGTTTTAACCTTCAGGAAACCTTACCTACCACAGTCTCCTCGCCAGGGACTCGTTTTAACACTCCGAGATCCTCAGTCATAATGAAGAATTGTGGAGGAAGTTAAAGTCTCTGCTTGGGAACAATTACCCGCCATCGTTGTGTGAGGATATGAACAATCTCTCAGGGTTTCAGAATTCCAGCGGATCTTAAAATCATACCACCAGTGCAATCATCAGTCAGTCGGTCAGTCAGTCAACCAGTTAGTTTGCTGGATCATTTAAAATCCTCCCTCCACCCGTCCCCTTCCCTCCCTCCACTGAATCAGCTGAAGGGGGTGTTGTCTTGTCTGGCATCACTGGGTTCATCCAAGCAGTGGCGCCGCCGTCGAGTTGAGAACACTGGCTCCTCGCCCAGACCTCCGGAGAAGTGGTGGGAATTAGTTCACTCTGTTTATTGCCTTTCTTAAGACCTGCCTCATCCACGCTCCGTTTGTTCCCATTTACCGTTTGTTCAGCTCCAGGTAACACTGTTGTTCATATGTTCACCAGGCAGTATTGACGCCATATACCACTGTAATAATTTATTGCACTAACGCTGAACAAAACACTATTATAAATACAGAAATTGTAAACAGAATTATCAATGTGGTAAAAAATTCTCACGAGTTTAAAATTAATAATAATAATACAAATAATACAAGTAAGTAAAATAATACTATTCCTTTCATTATACTCATCCAACATAATACAGTAATACATAACTCCAACTCTATACTCAGCACAAGATAACACAACCTTAAGAAAATACGAATCAATAAGTATAAAAGTATAAACGAAACATGAACATTATCTCTGTGTCACAACGTTTATAATTATCAAGGAGTTATATAAGACGTTCCTGGCTTGTGTGTGTGTGTGTGACTTGTATATTTCCTCAGCTACAGTCCATTCTCCTTATGTTGACCTATGCTACAAACGTTGACCTACTCTACTGCCAGGTGACCTCCTCTAACCGGTGCCTCTCCTCTCCCACAGGTCAGTTTCTCTCGGAGGTGGAACGCCATGAAGACGCGGCTGACCACTACGTGAAGGCGGCCCAGCTGGCGCCGTCAGAGTACGAAATTATCTTCAACGCGGCCAACACCCTCCGTCAGGCGGGCAGGAACAAACAGGCCGAAGAGTACTACCGCCTCGCTGTCAACCTTAGACCTCAGGTAGGCGATAGAGTTACTTAGTGAGCATTTATAGGACCTAATACTGAGCATTTATTTTAACTTTGAACTAACCTGAATTTATGTTAGCCATAGACATAATTAGACAGTTCCCATGAGGCAAAATCCTCAAGAATGAATTTTGGTCCTTGTGTAAAGATAGTTTACCTGTTAATGTATTTATCACCTACAGTTAAATGCCTCTTTAAGTTTATGTTTAATCACTGCCTGAAATTGGTAATATCAGGACTCTTGGTTTCTCCTAGGAGGCGACTTCACATATGAACCTGGGCGCCATGCTGCACGTAAACGGCAAGCTGCTGGAGGCCGAGTCAAGCTACCTGGAGGCGCTGCGGCTCAAGCCCGACGACTCCATCACCAGAACCAACCTGCAGAAACTGAGACACTTGTTGGCCAAGAAGGGCATCAGTCCCTCCAGATAACACGGAGCCCTCGACGTGTGAGGCTATGGAGCATCGTGTCCCAGTAGCATGTCCTAAGGTTGTGTCTTTAAGGGCGTGTCTTTGGAGTATATTCCAGAGGTATGTCCCGGAAATCGTGTCTTCGGGGCGTGTTCCACGGGATTGCCCTGTGCTTGGGGCGTCTCCTGCAATAGTTACCCCCCAAGCAGGGCGCCTCATAGGTGGTTTGTGTGTGTACGGGAGGGACGACTGTGATCTCTGCTTCTCAACCTCCACTTTGTGCCAACAGTGATCTGGGAGGGCCAGAGACAGGCGGGCCGCTGGAGGGCCGCTCACTCCACCTTGGGAGACATCCACCACGTAGCTCACCAAAACAGAATGCTCAAGTTCTTCCTCGTCCACGAGTCGTCCTCCGTCTGCGGTTCAGCACTACAACAGCCCAGTGAGAAGATAGTAGCTATGAACCTCGGCCGGCGGCTTACCAGTGGTCGTTCTTGTACTCACTGTACAGCGAGAATGAACCTTAGTGAGACGCCAACTCTGGATCATAATAGCTGATTTAGTTACAACCTTAGAGAGAGAAAGGAGAGACTATCCGGCAGACAACAATAGGCGCTCGGCGGTTCGAGTGTCTGAAGATCCCATAAGTGCCTTTTATATTAGAGGACCTGTGGGTGGCTGCCACGGCTCCCGACTGCTCCTGGGGCGTCTGGATACTAGGAAAGTCTTATGAACAGACAGCGTTATTATAAGTCTTATAGACGAAACTGCTTTTTTATGAATGTCTGAATCCACTATATTGTGTTATGGCCTGAATTTATTTTTCTTAACGCCTTTTAGTGTATGAGTGAAAGAAAGAGAAAAATTATTTTTTTCCTGTTCGAACTACGTCGTGTGTTGACCTTAATCACCTTAACACATTCTGCGTAGGATGGAGCGCCAAGAAGACTATTTTGGTGAGGCGTGGAGCCCCGGTTGTGAGTGAAGGCTACACGCTTCTGCCTGTCGGGAGTCGCCTTGTGTTCCTTAGCGATAATACCACAGCTTCGGAGCACATTATACATAGTCCAGGTTGTACTATAATTATTATATTGTTATTTAAAATCCCCATTTTTATATATTTAGAGTACAGAAGACTTTTCAGATCACAATGGTTAGCTTCCAGAATTATTAAGGAACTTCAAGATGACCACAGTGCCAAACACAGTTCATATCAGGACACAAATTGTGCCAAAAGTAGAAGAAAAAAATCTCCCAGGATCATGTCTTATAAACAGCTCCTCTCATACCTCCTCAGCTCAGTCCTGAGACATGTTATCAATTTTCCTATTCAAAACACCTCAGAAATTAATTGTACCCATTTTTCTGTTTATTATTTCACTTGCATGCTTTCAACCCATTCTATATGAGTTTCTCCTCAAACCCATGATTCTATAGTTACCCATTCGTCTCAAATCCGTTTTCTGTCCAGGATATTCCCAGAAGTCTCGTTTCCTTCAGTGAGTCATATTGATGATGTAGAAATAATCAAAGTCTTCTTTTTACAAACCGTATCCATCAGTCATATTAGTGGTGATTTTTTATTTCCATTTCTTATAGAATAATGTTATGAAAATATATACAAGTTTAGTTAACAATTATTCAAACTTTTTTTCTTCATAAGTCAATCGTATCCATGCATGTTCCTCAATAGTTGGTTATTTTAGCTCTTCCCAGTAATGATCTTACGAGCCTGTGTGATCATGCGAGTCTGTGTGAGTTATCAAACAAATCTGTGTGTATGGTCTTTATGTAACTGGAGGAAATATGTGCTGCATGTGTACCTTCACCATTACATGTAATTATATGACGTAACAGTAGTTTATATGTGTATGGTTTCACAGTTGTATCGCATACATATTGTGTGTACACGCTCAAGTGGTGCACACACACACTTTGCCATTGTTACACATATAGTTATTTCACAGTTGTACATATATGTTTGTTTACAGTGTTACAAACATGTCATTACTGTTATGCATATATGTACACATCATCCAAGTGGTACACACGTGTATATGTTCACAGCCATGTATGTATATTGTGCTGTTTGCTCCTCTTTTTATCTGCGATGTATTTAGTGATATTATTCCTTTTATTTATTCGTTGTATCGAAAGACACCGACCGACGCTCGAGTGACTAAGTGACTCGGTCTGGAGAATTCATCCACTTCCTCCCCACAACACCTGTCGTTAGTTCACCTGTTGTTGTGGACATCTGTACCAGTATCACTTACAACTAGCACTTACATAGTACTGACTTACTATAAACGTTACTTTTCTTTTGACTTTATATCATGTTAAAGAATCTTAATTATCTTTTTTTTTCACTTCAACTCTCCGCTAAGTTTGTTGTGTCAGCCTTACCAGGGAAATAATACTAATTACATTATGTTTCATGTACGAATCTAATATAATTGTTGTTGTTTTTTATTTAGTTAGTAGCATTATTAACTTTTATAGGATTTCATACTAGAGAGTCCAGAATGTAAGTGATGCTAGAAACTGAACCATTGCTCGATCAGTACAGATCAGCCTCTCTCTTCCAACCTCCTCTACCCCCTCCCCCCCTTCCTTCCCCCCACCTCCCTCTGGCCCCCCTTCCTTCCCCACCTCCTCTCCCTCCTCTCCCTTCCCTTCCTACTCCCCCCCCTCCTTCCTCTCCTCTCATTGTAATTTTCATCTATGTATTCAGATCAGTGTTGAGTATTATTTTAGAACTATAAACTGTGATCATACAAACAGGACCGGACGTCCCTCTCCTCCCGTCTGAGGCAAACACGACGCGGTGTGTTCTGGTGTAATTCATAATAATCCCTAACTGGCAACTGGCGAGGATTAATGACGTGGTTGTGACGTCATAGAGGGATAGACCAACCAGATGTTCGTCCCCAAAACAGTCTTAATTAGATATGAAGCCTCAACGACCGCTGTTAATATGTGATAGCTAGACAGAATTAGTCATCAGTGTGTCCTCACCAGCGTGACCAGAACCGCGTGAGGAGCCTCTGGGAGGATTGGACGTGCCGAGCCTCTTTTATCTGGCCGCACTGTTGAGCTAGTCGTCTTGGGTTGACCACTGGTAGATTATCACCTCTGTGTTATTTATAATCCCGAAAGGAGAGTTTAGGGTAAAAATAAATACTGTTATCCATTTATTTGGGTTCTATTGAAATTGTAATTAATATGTGTGAAATTAGTTATGATTTTTTAAATAAGAAAAATATATAGACGAAGTAATGAGGGTTGACAGATGGTGTAGGTGAAGCAGTAACAGCCCAGGACAGCTGGTGTAGACAGCTGGTCATCAGTAGTCTTGGTGAAAAAAAATATAAAACAACATACAGAAAAAACAGCATTCAGGAAAAATGAAACAACATTTAGTAGAAACAATATTCAGGAAAACAAAACAGCAACATCCGCCAAAGAAGTGAAACAGAAAAATTAAACACATTTAGTCTTTCTGACCAACAATGTTGTGTGCAAAAAACAACAACAACAACAACAACAACAACAAATCCTCTAAATTATTTAAGTATACCACAAAAATTGGATGTCATTTTTTCTTTATATAAGTTTTAGTCAGACGTGAACAGCTTCATGTTGTAGAATTATAATATGTGAACGTGCAATATTTGGATTGTTTCCTGTGAGGTGACGGTACCCTTACCAGATGACGTCATTAGCTGACGTCAGCTGCATCAGTTGATGTTATGGTTGTCAACTGACGTCAACTGCATCAGTTGATGTTATTGTGTTATCAGCTGGTGTTTAGTATCAGCAGAATATATTGTTGTCAGTTGACGCCGCAAAATCAGCTGATGTTATTGTTGTCAGATTTCATCACTGTATCAGTTGAAGATCAGTTGGCTATCCTGTAATCAGCTGACGACCCTGTCATCAGCTGACGGCCCTATCATCAGCTGACGATCCTGTCATCGGCTGACGATCCTGTCATCAGCTGACGCCTCCTCAGAACCCGGTGATGTGGGGACGGTGAAAAAATGAGCAACTAGAGACAAAGTCGCGGCGAGCCTTAACTGAGGGAGGCTAAAGGAAAATATCAAATATGGTCTTTATGATCCTCATACTTAAGGCTCAAAGTGAGGTTGTGTCCACGTAGCTCCTCTAGTAACACTTGTGATGAAGCAATGTTCTCTAATGCCTTGTAGATGATATGCCAAAGACTACTTAGATATGTTTTCTTAGATGTGTAAGAGAAGACGCCTCATATTATTATTAATAATAATATTTTCCCCGATGGGGAAATGACAGAAAATCAAAAGTAGTGTTTGTCTTTAGTGAGGTGACGCAGGCGGGGGTGAGCGAGGGTGGTGGTGACGGCCGCGGGCACTCTATCAAACACACCAGCTTTATTTATTGTGTTTTACTGAACCTTAACCCTCCCTCCCCCTCCTCCCCTTCTGTCCACAACCCCCTTACCCCATAGATGTGATCAGTAGGAGCGCCCCCACCCTAACCATGCATTGGGAGGGGGGGAGTAACCCCTCCTCCCCCATCCCCCCCGGCCTCGCCTCCCTGCCTGTCCACCGCCAAGTTATTTCTTCCTTAATCAAAAACTTATGGGCTGTGTAACCCCTTTTTCCTGACCTTCCTTCCCCTCCTCATTATTTCCTACTGTTTACTCTCTCTCTGTTATATTAAACGCTCTTTATTCTCTTGATTTATTTCTAGGAATATACCATGAACGATTTATTCTCTCTACCTTTAGATTCTTCCTCACCTAAGTCCTCCTGGTGTCCTTCATCCTATCCCTCTCACGCTGTAGGACTCCTCTATATTAGTCAGTCGTGTTCAAGGCAGGTAGGATCCTGTCATCACACTACACACTCTCGTATTACCACACACACTCTCGTATTACCATACACACACTCTTATTACCACACACACTCTTATTACCACACACACTCTTACTACCACACACACTCTTATTACCACACACACTCTTATTACCACACACACTCTTATTGCGACACACACTCTTATTACGACACACACTCTTATCCCATACTATCTAATCTCTGTACTCCTTATTACGCACTCTCATTATTTTCTACTACGCACTATCTCTATTCCATACTACGCACTTTACTCTGTACTACGCACTCTGTACTACGCACTATGTATTACGCAATCTGTACTTCACGTCACAGAAGTTTGGTGGAAGAGTTTCACCATGAATTAAGGGTCATTAATTATATGTAATGAACACGACTGACTCTCTCTCTCTCTCTCTCTCTCTCTCTCTCTCACATAACTTTCTCCATTTCATTTTATTATTCAGTAATTTATTCTTTGTCTTAATATTTTTTTTTATCGATTTCATTATTTAAAATTTATAAGATTAAAAAAGTATTTATTTTAGATATTTCCTATGTATTTTCTATTTAGTTTATTCATTATCTTTACTGTATTCTGTATATTGTATTATTTTCTTCTATAATTATTTTTTATTGTTTTTTTTATTATTTACCTTTTGTTATCATGGTTTATTACCTCGGCTCTCACATGTTTCTCTATACTGTCTTGCCAACAGGAAATAAAGACTGTTTTTATAAATGTATTTTCTTAACCCTAAAAGTAAACAATGAATAATAATAAACAATAAAAAAAATCATGAGAAAATGGATCATATATCCATCACAAAATAATTCCCATTGTAAGTGAAAATTAATATGGTAAAAAAAACATGAAATGTATGAAAATACGAAAAAAAATTGACAATAGAAAATGGTAATAAGAAAATAAAATAAAAATATAATTGTCTTTAGCCAATAAAAAGAGGAGTAGGAAAAAAGGAAGGAATAAGCCTAGGAGGAGAAGGAATAAGGACTAGGAGAAGGAATGAGGAGGAAGAGAAGGAATAACGATAAGGAGAAGTACTAATCACTAATATTTTGAGGTCAGAAATTTTCCTCATACGAAGTTTATTTACAACTAACACTTATTGTAGTTATGTCTAATACTATCTTATTTTATCAACATTTTTTTTAATAAATTTGCCGCTTTAATTTCAACAACACTCTTGATATAAACATTTCCTTCTTGGTAAAACAGAGACGAGTGTGTTTTGTTTGACAGCGCTCTGATGACTACAGTACAGAGTGTAGCGAGCAGTGCTGCCCTTAACTGCTGCTGGTGTTCTGCTCGCCTCCTCGGCCTCGTGGTGGATCCATTCAGTCCGAAGCTCCGGATAGAACACTCTTGTCGGGGAATCAACTCGTGACTCGACACCCACGAACAACACTGCTGCCCCCCACTGTATGGGGGTAATGGCGGGACCCCCTCCCCCTCCCTCCAGGACAACTACCAGCCGTAAGAACAATGAAAAAACAGAAATAAGTTAACTTCAGGGTGTGGTGATCGTCTAGAGTCTAAAGTGGTTTTTAAGTGTCCATTCCAAAGAAAATTATTGTCACTACAAAAACAGGACACTTGCTGGAAAGGAATGTAGCTGTGATGCCTTTAATATTGCTCTAATAACTCTGAAATTCATTATGAACAAAGAAACTTTAGCAAGAAGCACAATTACAACGATGTTACAAGGCTAGATAGATTTTGTGTTTGACTAAAAATGAAGAATTTGCCCGACCTGGTCAGACACTGCCACCACCGCACAACCTGTCACCCCACTCCAGACGACCTCGGCATTTTGCCACTTGTGACGGCAACAGCGGACCGACAACACCTCTCCTTCTCTCCGTAGCACCTAGTGACCCACTCAAGCATATTAGTGCAAGCCGAACCCTGCGGGCAGTGCCACAAAGGGGCGTCTTTAGAAGACGTGGTGGAGCTAGCTCAGAGTGGTGGTGATCCCCTGACTGCACAACAGAGGCCAGTGTTTGCGAGTCGCAAACGCTGGACAAAATTCACGTGAGTTAACAGCCCCGGAAAGGGTCCGATTGCCGGCCTTTTCGGAGATCCTGTTAATAAACAAGAAGTCCTGTTTTTCCCTTAGGCTGTTTACTAATTATTAGGGGGTGTCTCACCAGCCTCATGGGGGCTATAAACCTCCATCCCTCATAGAGAGATGGGGGACAACCAAAAAGACCATAACTATGGTAGTACCTCCTCTCGGGGAGGACAGGGACCCGATTATGCACGGCCAATAGCAGATAGACGAAATTACTAGAACGTAAAACCAGAAAATACTCGTATCTTAAGGTATCAGAGAGTTGGCCAGCGCTCCTGTGACGGAATTCGTGGTTTCATTATGAATAAATACATTAAGGACGCCATTGGAGAAGTGGCAAACATTCGGCGACTTAGGAACGCTGATTTACAGCTTGAATTGACAAATACTAGCCAGGTCAAAGACGCCATGAAACTGAAATGCTTTCTTTCACATGACGTAAAGACCTACGTACCCAACTTCCTCAATACCTGCAAAGGGGTTGTAACCAGCCCTGAACTTCAGCAATTGAGTGAAGAGGATATAGTAGACTTAACAGTTTAGTGGGCAGGGGCTTCCCTCAGTTGAATAACATCGTCGTCAGGTATCAGCCAGAATGAAACACCTAAGGGCTACTTTGCCTTCTAAACGGTTAATGCAGGATCAGATGTATTGCTGCTGGATTCTTTACTAAGATGCT